GAAATCTTGCAGAAGGTGTTAATGTTTTAGTTCGTTATAGCAAGACTGTGGTGCACTGCAATGGTATGTTCTCAGTTTATGCCAAGATCCCAGGTATCTAAGTTAGCCACATTAAAATCAAAGAATGCTTTACTCAAATATGGGCCTCTGGCTAGAAACACTAGAGAACAGATGCTAAAAAAGAGAGTAGGAAAGCAGACTGTACACAATATTGACTTACAGCGTGGTTTAAGGGGACCTTGGAAGAATTCTGCCAAGGTGACCTTGAAAAGAGGTAGCTGCTCTCTCAACCTCAAGGTGAATGACACATAAGGAGAAGGGCTGGAATCACAGGAAGCATGGATTATTTTGAATGACCACGGAAGGTGATTCTTTGCAAGTGGATTACAATTAAGTTTTCAACAATAATTTCAATTGATTAAATAAACTTATTTTTGTGGACAGAAGGAATCCATGTGGGCCATCTAGTGTTGTGCACAATCAATACGGAATAACAGTAAGCCCAGCTGTACATCAGGCTGTAATGCTAAAGGTCCTTCATAAGCCATAACAAAGCTAAAGCCGATAACATCCTCATAACCCAGATATGGAACTAATGTATTCATTTATGTACATATTATTTGTACTTTTATTTAATAATATATTTCATAAGATTTGCCCAAATGCACTGCCATCTGAAAGAGGGAGAAATACCAATAACCTAGCGCAGCAGCTGAAAAGCCAGTAAGAACTGTTCAAAACTGTTTCTTTTTAACAAGAAAACAGTTCATCGTATGTAGTGCTAAGTAAATAAGCAAATACAAAATGCAATAATAAATCAGCATATACTTTGTGACACTAGGGGGAATTCTAAGGTACCAGGAATGAAAAAAATTACTTTGGGAAGCTACCGTTGGTATAGTTATACAAGGGACCTTAAATTCATTTAATTTTTTCCTCTTTCTTTACTAGATCAAAATACAACAGCTTTTATTAATTATTATTATTATATTCTTTTGGTGACACTTCAGTCATTTATTTTTCCAATATCCTAAATTTACAGACTGTAAAAATCCATCAGCCTACTACAGTATTAGATGTGTAATCGTAATACTGTGTAAAACTGTTTAGGATCCTCAAATAAACCAGTGAGGTTTGTAAGAAATAACCCCATTTTATAGAGGGGGAACTGAGGCACAGAAGTAACTGGCCCAAGTCCACAGCAAAGCAGTTACACAGTTGAAAAGGAACCCAGATTTTCTGAAATCCGGTCCCCTGCTCTAACCAACAGACCACACACAGCTACCCTCTTAATTTATAGCATTCAACTAACAATCTACTCATCTAAGATGATTGCTAAGTAACTTTGTGCATATGGAGCAATATAGACAAACATACTTAAGCTTCATAAATATCTTTATGAATTACAGTCAAATGGTGCTAAATATTGTGTAAGTACTGTACAGATATCTAGACATCTACTGTACAGACATGTAGACATGTAGCTCAGTGATATTAGTCACTCTGAATACTATCGAATATGGAATTCCCTCACTGTTAAGAATAAAAAGATTATTGTGGTTCAGACGGTAAAATAAAGCACTTAAATGTCACTTTTCTCATGTGGCATTTTCCCTGTCTGTTGTTACTATGCTGTATTAGACAACTAAGCAATATTTCTTTACCAGGTGAAAACCCACATTCACTCTGCAGTGATAGTTTATTGTAAGCAAGCACTGCTTGTTTAATGTATCAGTTGGCTGACCTCATTCTTAGAGATTACTCATCACAGCTTAAAGACATTAAACCATTTCAACATGTAGCTGTTAATCTTTTGGCACCAGAAGTCTGGTTTCCCCAGAGCAACAGCAGGCGCCAAGGAGTTAAATAGATTTTAATTAATGGTTTTCACTAGTCTATGCACAAACAATTATTATGCACTCAAGACACATGCCCTTGCCTGGGTTGACTGTTTGAAGGAAGCCCATATTCAGATGCCTGTGGGTTCTTTTTTCCACAACCCACACACATTGTATTAGAATTCTGACACCAGCCATCCATGCTGAAGAAAGCAAAGGAATTGGTTTTATTCAATAAGCCACATATGATTAGAACCTTAACCAAAACTTTATTGTAAAGTCAGGAAATTGAGAGGCAAGGTTTGCACACTAACCTTCACTCTGCCTCCTTGTGTGTGCACTCTACAATAATGTCTCATTTCATGATGACAACACTATTCAAAATAGTCTTCAGCAAATGAAGCATTATAATGAATGTTTTTATAATTGTAAATGGAATGGATACACTGTGTTCATGTTTTCAAAAGACTTTGTAATACACATCAGCAAGTAATAAGGAGAAAGTAACCATTCAGGTTGCTAAAGTAAGCTCAGCTCTTCATTTCCTTACTTCTGCAGTGAAAATTATTTCCATTTTAAGCTGTCTGGGGCAGGTAACTGATATTTGTCAACACAACTTATGCACTGTGCCTGCTGTATAAATAATAATAATGCCTCAACATTTATATTACACTAACCAATTGTTGCATTATGAAATGCATGTATGACTCTATTATTACTTTTGCAACAGAACCACTGAAAAATTGTTAGAAATTGTGTATAAGAGATCATGCAGGCCGTCTTCCTATCAGTGCAGTCTTTTGCCCATCTTAAATTTAAACACTCCTTGCAATGGGCTTCCATCACTTTACCTGGAAGACTATTCCACAGTCTCTAGGGGTTCTCACAAAAAATTTTTGGTGGCCGCTCTGACAATTTTTCCTAAAATACTTAATTTACTTTAGGAAAAACAACTAAATATGCACATATCCAAATCATTGTAATTTATTTATGTAGGGGTTTTTGCAAACTCAATAATAAAAATGATGTACAGTTGTCTCTATTCTTTACTGGACCTAAACAGAATAGAAACAAAATAAGGTGCTTTGCACATTTTTGTCTATTTTTTTTTATTTTATTTTAGACTGCTTTTTTCTTAAGACTTGCTAGCTAGTAAGGCTGCTGCTATGAAAAATTATATATGTATATTTGTATGTATCACTTTTCACAGCAGACTTATTAGCTAGCTGGAAGGCAGTGAAAAGTGATATTAACAAACATACAAATATCATTTTTCACAGCAGACATACACAGCCCCGGAAAGCCAGGGGACAAATTAAGCCATGGATGGAGAGGTGGGTAGGGAGGCAATGGGCCCAGGGCTGGAGCTCGAAGCCACTGCGGGATGGAGCCTGAAGCCCTGCGGCTGCAGTCTAGCACCTGCCACCCCAGGGCTGAAGCCAGAAGCCCGAGCCCCACCACCCCTGGGAAATTCATACCAGCTGCCTGCTCCTCTGGCATTTGTGGCTGCAGAGGAGGGCAGGGCCCAAATCCCTGCGGGCAACGCTAAGGGAGGAGTCACTGTTTTCCCCCTCTCCCCCCATCACTGCCCAGGAGGCTGTGGCCGCAAAAAAAGCCTCTGGTGGCCGCATTTGAGAAACATACTCTAACTGCCTTGCATAATGACAGGTTTCAGAGTAGCAGCCATGTTAGTCTGTATCCGCAAAAAGAACAGGAGTACTTGTGGCACCTTAGAGACTAACAAATTTATTAGAGCATAAGCTTTCCTGGGCTACAGCCCACTTCTTCGGTTTCACTGTGAGGAAGCTGTTCCTAATTTTCAGCTTAAATTCACTTTTCTGTATTTTTCTTGTTGAGTCAGACTTTTTTTTTTTTTTTTAAACGGAGTACAACTATTATCCATGAGTGAATTTTACCTGCATCATTTATTAATGGTTCTACTGTATCCATAGTGCTGCTCTTTCCACTTGATACATTAGTAAAAGCCCTTTATTTGCTTTGGCTGTAGTTTATGAAATTTTGTCTTTTACATATAAAATTGTACATTCCTTTAAAAAATAAAAAAAGATGAAAAATACAATACACAGGCAGTGAGGAAGAATTTCAGATACAACTGCAGGAAGAGATTCCAGCAGCTGTGATCTGAAGGACACATCAGAGTATCTATCCCTAGAGGCTTTCCTTCCAAGTTCTGACAAGAATTATTTCTATTTAGCTTGTAATCTTGACAGAGATCATAGCACATCAGCATGGGCAGAGGGGGACTAAGGTTTTGTTGGTGCATTCTTTAAAACACTAGGGAGCACAATCATCAACAGTGGGAATCAAACCCAGGTGTCTTATATAAAAGTCCAAAGCATTGCTACTAAGCCAGCAGGCATCCTGCAGGACACTAGAAATTAGAAATAATGGATCTGAACATTCAGGATAGATCCCTTACAGGACAACATTTTTGCTTCATCTTAGTAATATCAAAGAGGATCAAATACACAATTCTCACAAATATTTAAGGAAAAAGATCTCTAGATGTTAGTGAACTCAATGAGTGGCCGGTTTAAGAAAACCAAATGCTTTCAAATTCTTCCAAATTATTGAACATGCAATTTCCTGAGCAACTATAAAATCATTTTTTCCTACCATGGAAGCACAATATACAGAGCTGATCCTAGGTATATTTGCAAATGACTTTTTGTTTCTCACCATTTCCCTGTACTCAACAAGGTAGATGATATTTCTCCCGGATTCCCCTATTTTCCACCCATCCCTCCTCTCCCCCTTTACTAGGCTTGGAACCTCGTCCTCTGATGAGGCAGGTCTTATACTTTGGGGCTGGGCTCTTGGAGCACAAATATGGATGATGCTGTCTTCTGATCAGATGGCTTTCATCTCCAATGGGAGCAGAGGTAGGCCCATGCTGAGTGCTTTTGAAAATCCCACTAGACACACTTTCAGGCTCTCCTCAGGTTCAAAGTTTCTCCAACTGGTTTTTCCATGGCTGATGAACACCTCAGTATATAGCATAATTACTTTACTATTTCAAATTTTGAAGTGACTTTTGGACTTGAAGCTGAACTGGGTGCTATAGTAAAAATAAAAAACGTTTTTCAACAAATTCACATCTATAGAGCATTGCTTGTTTCCACAACAATATTCAATACCTACCATATGAGCCTGGCATTCTCTCCTCATAAGTAAAATGAAGTTGCAGTTCCTCTTCTGACATCTGACATATGAACACTTTTAACAAACAGCAAATAATGAACAATGCATTGTGGGCCTGCCAAATAAAAAGATGGCTAGAAGGGAAACAGAAAAGTAAACAAGAGTCAATAATGTTTTACTTATTAATGTTCAGCAATAGTCATGACTAGGTACGTGTAACAGTGAATGGAAAGGTTCCTGTAGCCCATATGAGGCAAAGGCAAGTCTCAAGTGACTAAAATGTGGACATTCAATAGCAAGGAAAATTTATTTAAACAAACGTTTCTTTTCAAGAAGACGCAGCCTTCTTGCTACATATAGTTTAGTACTATTATTAAAAGCATCACAGTTACCATTAAGTGCCATTCTCTTCAGGAAATTGACTGGCTAGCCTATTATCTTTTTTAATCTCTACACCCCAGAAGTCCCCACTCTGTGGGGCACCCCTAGGTGGGCATGGAGGAATGTTCAGGAGAGCGTGGTTGGGGCCCCAGCCTCAGTCCCCGGCACCTATGCTTGGGGCACCGGCTGCTGGCTCAACCCCTGGCTGAGGTTCCGCTCCCAGCCTCAGCCTCATCCCCCTTATCCCTGTCCGTGTCCCTCATTCCCACAGCTGTGGACCTACTCCTGGCCCAGCGGGACAGGGGAAGGGTGTGGTGCGAGGTAAAGTTTGGGGACCCACTGCTACGTACTATAGGGCAGTCTCAAATGGATTGAGACCTCTTTAAATCTCACTCTTTCTGCATGGAAATTTATCCCCAATCTTATCCCTTTACGTGCACAAATATTACTCAGATGACACTCGAGGTGGAAGACGTTCAGTGACTTTCAGGAGCAACAGCAGTAAGTCCAGTTACTCTTCACAACTTTGTCCCCAGATTTCTAGGCATGAAGGCAATCCAGCAGGGAACTGTATTATGTCCCTCTGGGTCCCTACGTGCAGGCTCAGGGGGATCCAGTCAACAGCAACATATGCAGCTCCTGCTGAAGCCACCCTGTCTAGGGGCTGAGGGGCCAACACAGCAGCAGCCAAAAGGATGACTTCTTTCCTCTGGACGCAAGAGATTCTCTCTCAATGGATCGCTAGATCAGAAGAGGAGTTGGCCTCAAAATGTCTGCAAACTCCTCCTTCCCCTGCCAGGAAAGAAATTTCCAGGGAAAAGCAATCTTTGGAAAGTTTCCTGGAAAACTATACTTCTGAAAGTATAACTTCTTGAAGTTTTCATCCCCCACCGGGAGGGAAGAGGGTTAGAAAGGCAATCTGATCATACAATTTGAAAGCAGTGGAATTTTAGATCATTTTTTATTCTGGCCTGGTCAGAGTTTCAAGTATTCTAGAAATAATGCACTGATTTTAAAATAAATTTAGATTAGCTAAAAAGCTTTATCAGATGGCTTATAATAGGCCTTAAAAAGCATCTTAGTTGAAAAATAAATGTTTAATTTGCAAAATAAGCAGCCAGTAGCATAGCATGAGAGCCACTGCTACTACGGGTTAAGGAAAACAAAATCGCTAGCACATCAATTGTTCTCTTAAATGTTATTTATGCTCCAAGGAATTTTGAGTCACAGACTATAAATCTAGCAAAGGAGTATTTGCCCAGCATTTTTATTGTCTGTCATGCCCACCCACAGAAAGAAATGGGATAGTAGTGCCTAGGACCGCAGAGTGGAAAGGGCAGAGATTAATCCAAAGTTACATAAACATATGTTTGTTGCAATGTTTAGACCCACTCACACAAGTAAAGCAAATGGAAAATTTCTGTTCTTCTGTAATGGCACAACTTTACATATTATGCTCCAATCCCAGTGCTTGAAATACACAAGATACTTGTTCCTCTGAAATTACGGTAGTTTCTCTTTTAAAAACAAAAATAAACTTTAAGAGAACCTGAATTTTCACCTTGCCGATTCAGGTATTTATGGAGCAGCCATCATTGCATTACCCAAGAGCTATCAACAAAATGAACATTTAAAACATAAAAGGGAACGCCTGGCATTTCACTGCCAACTTACTTTTGACATTCCGCTGAAATTTTTAACTCTTTGGTTCTGGAAAGGAAGACTTTAATCAATGCCCCAAGATTTCCTGTTCGAGGATTGTTCTCAACTAGATGAGGGATTGAAAAGATTAGAGTACATTTGTAATTTAAATTATGATAATTAATTCAAACACAGGATATATAGAGCGGGAATTACTCTCCATTGCACATTTTATGTATTTTTTTAAATTAAACACACACACACACACACACACAGGCTACTTTTTTATAGGTTTTTTTTTAAACAGTCTATAGTTAAAGATGGCTCCTGTCCATGTTTCTGCTATTGCAAGATTGTTCACTACACTACAATTTTCCAACCTAAATTTAAAACATTCCGAACAATGGAGCCACACCATTTCTTTCAGGAGACTATTTCACAGCTCAATAGATCTCACTATCAGGAAAGTGTGCCTGACTGTGACAATAATATCATTTCATTCCTCACTCTTCTACCATCCCTGGTTCCTCCCTGCATAATCTCTATCAGCATTGCTACCCTTTCAATATTTTAGAAGTTTCTATATTGTAATGAACAGAGTTAACATTGCAAGTTAAAACTTAAAACATCCAGGGAATCAAATTATCATTCAGAATGAGAAGCAGGATATGCACTCATCTTCTAATTCAAGTGTCAACTCCACATGACAGGTGTCACATACTATACTCATATCTGCCCACTGATACTCTATATGTCGCCCACTGATATTCTACTTCTAAAGGGGCAATGCTTTAAAAATCATTATTTAAAAGAAGTCTGTTCAACTATTAAAGTAACTGTGCCCAAGTCACTTCCTTCTGTTGGTGACACACAGAATAATGTGACAATGTTACATTTAAGCAGCACAAATTAGTAGAATGTGTTTTCATCTTCTACTTGGGAGACAAATATGATTTTAAAAATCTCATTACTGAAATGCAGATGAGTGAAATTAAATAAATACAGACACAGAAGTTTACATGAACAGTGATTTATCAGAAAAGTTGACAACAAACACAGAAATATGTGAAGACATCAAAATAATCTCTCTCACCTAAAGACTTGCAGATTGAGATGGTGGCTTCTTCCAACAGCTTTAACTCAGCACTGAAGATGAAGAAAGGAAGCATTTAGTTATATGAGCAATAACAATCCCTGAGCCTATAGAGGCCTGCCGCTTGTAGAATACAATTACTGCATTTAAATACATTTGTTATAGGGCAGTACTGCAATTCCTATGACCTTTAATTTTAGTTACTCCATTTACCTCACTCACATAGATTGCGCTCGTTATTTGAAGCAGTGTGGCCATACAATGGACAATTAACATTCATCTCACTCTGTCAAACAATTCATATTTAAAGTGGGCAGATCATTTCTATGTCATAAACTTCACTCATCCCATGCTTGTTTTGGAATAAGCCCCTATAAATAAACATAGGTCCACAGTTTCAATTTGTAGAAAAAGTTGGCTTTTGTACTAGGAATATCATTGCATCATGCGTGGATATAAAAGGAAGAATGTAACCCTTTTCTAAAACTGAAAATGCCTCCATAAGCAAACAGATTTAATTTCAAACTTAATACTATAACCCAGTTTCAATAATTATTGCATGTGGTTACAACAGATGCAATTGTAAATCATGTATATGCCAAGAGGATAGGATTTTTACAAATTCACTAACTGCCAGATGATATATCTATATCAAAACATCTACTTACAAAGATTTTATAATGAAAAGGGGGGATGGGGAGGAAGAGGGAAGGGAATCAAACAACCTTAAAATAATCCCAACTATGTGAAACCTATAAAATACACATACACCACTAGAAGTGCTAAGTATGTAGGCCTGAAAAGCATTGTACAAATTAACTAATCCTTGTGAAGTAAATCAAGTATTTGCATTTTAGAGACAGGAAAAACAAAAACAGTAGTAGGCATCTTGCCCAAGGCCACGTTAAATGGGACACCTCCATACTGCTTCTATATTAGATATTTAAGGATCTTATCTCCTGCCAATATGTACCAAGGAAAGACAAGATTCCTTAACAACAGAATGTAAATTTCCCCTTTTCCAATTTAGTGTTATTAACCTGACAAACTCCATTGAAAAGAACAGATTTAAAATTTGTTATTAAAGCTAATGTTAAAATTATATAATACACAGGTTAAGGAAAGAGTGTTTATACATCTGAGTATAATGCTTACATTATCCCAAAATACAAATTTTGGTTTAAAAGTCATAAAATACATATAGTACATAATCTGCAATAACCCAAATTAAGGTTAATAAATTTAATGATACAGTTTAGATATTAGCATCCAAATATTCAGGTACATCACTCATAAAAGCTTATACTGAGAGTAGCTTGTGGAAAAGAAGTATAGCAATGAGTGTAGATTGTCCCTCAGTAATTGAGCATTTAGGATAGGTTGTCGCTCAGTAAACACAATCCATCACAGAAGTATTTCACTATATATACAAAGCCAATGAGGTTTTTTGGGTTGGGAAATGTCTTTTACACTTCCAGGTCCAGTTTGTTTGTTTTAAGAAACCTGGCACAAAGTAACATGCTATGATCAGTAGAAAAGCTGGAGTCTATTAAACTTCCATTTTCAAAACCCCCGGCCTAGGATAACTTGCAGTTCAATGAGTTTTCAGGTAACTGCCTATTATCCCATCAAAAAGAGCTAGACACCTTTTTACCAAGTGCAACTATGAAATGGGATTTTGTTTTTCAATTTGTCACCTTCCGAATACATATAAGGTAAATATCACAGCATGAAATTTCACTAAGCACCACGAGATGTTTAGAGGCGGAGCAGAGTCTAGCAAGTAAAGAGGACAGTTAAGAGACTAGATTTCTGCTCCTTGCTCGGTCACCAGCTCACTCAGATATCCTTGGGCAAGACACTTATCCTCTCAAGGCCAAATTCATTGCTGGTGTAAACAATTCTAGTGATTTGAAGCGGTCATCTATAAAATGGGCATAGCAATACAGGAGCGAGCATTGTGGTCAGTCTTTCAGAATGAAAATGACAGTGGCACAAACATCCTAAATGGATTTGGGCCAGGGGGAGGATATCATATTAGCTCAAGGCTGAGAAAAATCTAGAGGGCTTTTGTTTGCTTTACCATAGAGGGGTTGAATAGAAAACTATGCTTTTTCATTCTCTTACATTTCTGCCTCTTCTAAGCTTCATCTGTCTTGATGCATCTTTTCATTCTCTCTCCACAGCCCCAAAGGCTTCCACGCACTAATTTCTTCCTACTGCACTATTATCTCTCAGTTCCAGGACACACCCTCACCTAGTTCTCTCACCTCCGCAGAGTCTCTCAATTTTGTTCATTTTTTCTCTTGTGCATTTCCCATACATCTTTGCTCTGCTGGTATAGAAGGTAAGCCTCCCTCTACTTATCTGAAGCACAGGTTACCAAAGGGATGTGGAGGGTGAGCAGATCCCAATATCACCTGCCAATGCAGGTGTGTTAGTAGGCCTGGGAAAAGTGAGGATTCAATCCTTAGTGTTTGCAAAATGCTTTGAGGTCCCTGGACAGAAAATGTTATGGAAGTGGAAAGTATTTATGTTTAAAAGTCTTTACAATGGGAAATTAGGGGAAAGACCGACTTTTAGTGGTTTCAGGAATCACCAAGCATTAACTAGTCTAGTTGCCAATCTCTTTTGCAGTCAGAGGCAACCAAAGACAGGAGTGCACTTTCTCTCTGGCAGAAAGTGACTCAAGAGCCTTCTTAAAAGCTCAAATCTCCTCTACTTGTGAGATATTTTGCCCAAGATGTTTTTGTACATTCCCAGTTTGCATGCTCATATAGTAATTATATATCATCCCACATGTTCTCAATAGAATTCCTCCCTGTAAAACCAAGAGAGGTGCATCCAGAAGCCCAAACCTCTCCAGTGGGTTAAAATATGAAACAGATTAGTTCCTGGGAGGTCTGGCTCTCCCACTCACCCTCAAATCAAGCAAAAGAACTATAGAAAAATAGGATTTAATGGATTAGCCAAACCAATCATCATACTCCAAGGAGACCTCCAAATTGCGATTCCATAGGAACTGCTATACTGCATCAGATCCACAATCCATCTAGTCCAGTACTTTGTCTCTGACAGTGGCCAGAAGCAGACACTTCATAGGAAAATGCAACAACCCTTTTCAATGGAAAGATTTGAGATAGTTTGCCCCCATGAAGGTCTAATCTTAATCCCTAAGGGTTAGATTTTGTCTTAAACCCTGAAATATGAGGTCTTAAATCCCTTACAAATAGTCTTATTTCACCCATTAACTATAACAACTCTGGATATATTCTGGTTATCCATATAAACATCCAATCTTACTGAATTCTTGGTCTCAATGACATCTTGTGGTAATGAGTTCCACAGTCTAAATATATGTTGACTGAAAGAGTACTTCCTTTCATCTACAAGTTGATGAAGTAAGAACCATATCTGCAGAAACCTTGGGCCCACATGCTTCTGTGGTGAGCGTCCAGTTCCACAGCTGGGTTGTGTGCAATGACAAAAATGAAGCCTGGAGAAATCTATATCACCCAAAAACATCCCCAAACTTCACTTCACTAAGTGCCATAGCATTTAATATGGAAGTATATTTGTGGGAGTAGGAGAGAAAAATGGGAGGCCAGTGGGCAGGAAAGATCCATAGATTGTAAGGCCAGAAGGGGCCATTGTGATGATCTAGTCTGACCTTCTGTATAGCACAGATCACAGAACAGTTCCAAAACAATTCCTAGAGAATATCTTTCAGAAAGACATCCAATTTTGATTTAAAATGGTCAGTGATGGAGACTCCACCACGACCCTTGGCAAATTTTCCCCATGGTTAATTACTCTCGTCATTAAAAATTTATGCCTAGCTTCAATTTCCAGCCATTGGATCATGTTATACTTTTCTCTGCTAGACTGATAAGCCTATTACACATTTATTCCCCATGTAGATACTTATGGACTGTAATTGAGTTACCTTTTAACCTTCTCTTTGTTAAGCTAAATAGATCGAGTTCTTTGAGTCTATCACTATAAAGCATGTTGTGTAATCCTTTAATCATTCTCCTGGCTCTTCTCTGAACTGCCTCCGATGTATCAACATCCTTCTTGAAGTGTGACACCAGAACTGGACACAGTATTCCAGCAATGGACACATTAGTGCCAAGCACAGAGGTAAAATAACCTTTCAATTCCTACTCGAGATTCCTCTTCATATGAATCCCAGGGTTGCATTAGTTCTATTGGCCACAGTGTCACTCAGAGCTCATGTTCAGAGGATTATACAGCACCGCCCCCAAATCTTTTTCAGTCACTGCTTCCCAGAATAGAGTCCCCCATCTTATAAGCATAGTCTACATTCTTTGTTCCTAGATGTATAGATTTACATTTACAGGGCAATCACAAGCAGAAATCCACTCTGTGATGCTTCCTGGGGTACCCAAGGTTGTGAGGCATCTTGCTACCACCTGCTTTTAACATGAGGAAAGCTTGTCTGTGCCTGCCATGGGTCAGATCCCCAACTCCTCTGGCCACAGAATATTCCTGAGATATGTCACTTTCTGGTGACCTACCTTAACTTCAAAACCTTAAGAACATAATTTCCCATATAGATACATCACACCTTAAATATTATCCATCCATACATTTTGCAATGACTATGATGACCAGTGGGCTACTGGCTCTCAGAGATCACACTGCCACCCTTCCGTGAATTATTACGCATATATCTGACCCAGGAGATCCCTATAAAACCATATGCACCCACTGTGCCCTCTGCCCGCTGGCAGCTCGTGGTGTCTGCGTCACACACTCCTAGCTAGTAAACATTCATGTACACCTAAGGATAAGCCAAACCCGTCTATATCCATCAACTTCAAAAATCACTTCAGCGATTCCTAGTGAAGCCTCTTACATCCTGAAGAGCTCTTCCATGTTCTAAATGGATATTTACTCTCACTTCCATGTCTCCTCCACCTGCACACACCTACTAGCTGCACACACTCTTCCTGACAAGATTAAGGTCTCAAATTGCACGACACTCAAGGCTACATTCACATCAAAGGCATTTCTGCTGCCCACAGGT